CAGCTTGTCTATTCCATTTTAATATGTCCTCACAATTGCGATTTTCTGTGAATGTAATTAATATTTTGCCTTCTGAATGCAGTAATATTCATCTATTGGTCTGTTTGGAGGCTGAGCCGAGAGGCATTGTTTCTCATACGATAACACTTTAATATTCCCAGGGAACACTGATCTATTTCTTAAAATTTCATTCCTATAATACCTCAGATGAAACTGCTATAACTCTTTCCACATGGATCTTTCAAATGTCCTTGTTTTAGGCATGAATTTTCTTCAAGGGCTGTTATATTTATTTATTTATTTATTATTGGGGATGTTACAGATTGAGAAAAATAAAGGCCAGCAGGCAAGCTGTAGCTGAGAGACTCTTATCCTAATAACAATGTACAGTGAAGTGGAGAAGTTGTTATTAAGGTGAAAGTCTGTCTATAAACAATGATGAAATACTCATTGTCACCAAAACSGTCAAAGTTTCCTCCAGAGACTCTCTTGTAAGACCTTAGGTTCTCTGTTTTTGACTATATCTTSTCAAATTAAGACACTACAACACTTTTTCTGATTTCATCCTCATTAGGAACTTTATTCTTTTTTCCCCTTTTACTGTAAAATCATATGCACAGATAAAATGGAGGTGGTTTCTACCTAAGGTGCTAACCCACAGATTGCAAAATGAACCAACTGGTGGACATGACAAAAAGCTGAGAGACAGAAGATGACAACCTTGATGAAGCCTAGATATCTACTGAGATAGACCTCTGGCAACCAAGATAGACCTTTAGGATGATTCAGGATGGCTCTTGCTATGAGCAAGCATCAATTGCTATGTGCTGTTGAAGACCTGTGGCTCACCTCCTGCCATGAAAGTCGATTTGCTATCCATTAGGTTTTCACACAGTTCCCGAGGAAGCAGAATATGGCTGAAGCACAAGAGTGCACTCCACTAAAGCTAAATGCGATACTGTAAAAGTAAGTGGTAYGACATAAAGTCATATATTTACTTATGTTTCTWACAATTTAATATTATTAACAAAGATGTTTGTACTTGAAATGGCCGCTTCTTGTCATTCTGAGTAAAATATAATAGTTAAAACAGCAGCTGAGTGTTACACAGTTTAGTTATATTTTTATCAGAAAACTCTATTAACTTRATGGTGAATAAAATATCTGCAGGAATATGAAAGGGACTTAAACGCTTCTGTGCCTAACCCTGAGGACTAGTGTCAGCAGCACCTCTAGTGGCAGCCTATAAAACACTCCTTGGCCTTGGGAAGCTGCATTATGCAAGGGATCCTAAAACCCCTTTTATGCTTTGGCAATGGAGTGAGTGTAATAATGATTCACTATTACAAGTCAGTGTTAGCTCAATACAGATTGATTTGGTTTTAGTGTCTTTTTGTTTAAAATACCTTTCCACCTAAATGGGTCTGGTATGTTCAAATGCCCTAAAWAATAGTTCCACCAAAATTCTGTAATAAATAATTGTAAATTACCCTAAAAAATCTACTGGAATTAAAAATAAATCAGCAGATTCTCTGTTCAGCAGCATCAATAAATCCTTAGTCTATCACAGCATACACTGTTTACATTTGCCTAGGGGCTCTAAAACATTATGAGATGAAATGATTTTCCTGTTCCTTGGTGTCTGGCTGCCATCGAATTTAAGTGTTTCATGAATTTAATTGTGAAGAGAACAATTTAACATTTTTCAGCCCCCTGTGGGGAAATGGAAGGAGGAGCCAACTGGATGTTGTGCTGCCTGCAAAATGACTCATATTTAAAATTTAGCTGTGATGGCTGTATCAGGTGAAACTCAGAAGGCCAGCAAATGACCCCACGGCCATTAAAGACTCACATAAGCTGTCAAGAGAAAGCTTTAATGTCATAAGTAGGGCCCAGCCTTCTGCTTGTGGTGGGGTTTCATCCCAGGTTGCATCAATTTCTTTATTTATGCAACATTAAGCTAATTTTCATCATTTCCCTGAAAATCTATCAGAATTGCTTTCAGGCTCTGAGGAAGGTATCATATTTCATTGCATGAGAATTCATCTGTTATACTTGGGAGAGACAGTTTATATCTCTAGCAACTAAAACCTTGTAAAAAAGGCAATTGCAATCCTTTCCTAGAGCACAGACAGAATAACAAGAACTACATTGTTTCTTAGAAGCAAAAAAGATTTTTTTTTCAATGGAAAAGATTATTCTGGTTTACCTTGACTACTGGAAGCAAGAACAACATATCACTTAAMGTTTACTATACCATTTTTGTATAATTTAGGGAATGAAGGAGGATTGTTGTACAAGCGGAATAAAAAGCAAAACCACTAGGTGAGCCTCCTTTAAGCATATGCCTCTGTATATTCTCATTTTTAAATCTCTATTTTCTTGTCTTGGTCCTTTTTATTGACTTTTATGTTTTGCAAGTGATATGGGAAGGATTTCTGTGCAATTTGTGTACACTTATGTATTCTGACTTCTCTGCTTGGCACGCAGATTTCCGAATGGGACATCAACAACAATTTGATGTGCTCAGCCACCAATGCCAACAAAAACTAGTATTTTATGCAGCAGCAAATGACAACACCACCTTTGAAAACCTGAGAAGAAGGTGGAGTAGTAAAAAGAGTGTGTGGGAGAAGATAAAGCAGATAAATTTCAGCTGCCAAGTAACACACTCCTCAGTTTCCTGAAGATAAATTTGTGGCTTCCAATATATTTTAGTGATAGATCCTGCATTGCAAACTTAACCTAAATTATCCCTTGTAAATTTKTTTCCAATGGGGGTGGGAGGTGGAGAAGGGAAGAAAACAGAATTAAATATTATCTTATAAATTTTGCAAATAGCGAAGCAAAATCAGCAGCAAAAGTGCTACTGACATTTTCAGGGAGGAGCAAAATCTGTCAGAAATACTGTTTATCGCTCCTTATTAATCACGGTAACTGGAGCCCTACATTCTGTGTGCTGTGCATAGCTGTGCTTTGTTCAAGAAGTTCTTGTAGGATTCCTTTGGGRGGTTTGCTCTTTATTTGCCACCAGCTTAAAACTTGCTTTTAATATATATTCCCTGATAATGTGTGCTTCCAAACTTCCTGCTTGACCTAGGATCTCTCTAGGACATGCATAGCAAAAAACACTGAGACAAGTGCGTTCCAGGAACATCACCATGCAACGTGTTGCTTTGGTTCATTTAAACAAATGCCCAGATATCTGCTCAATAGATGTTCTTTATCACTGAAAATTGGCAGTGAAGTGAATGGGTGTCCTGAACTTTGTTACTACAGTGAGAGTTAAGAATGGCGCAATTTGAGTGGTGGGAATTGAAAGAAATAAAATAGTAAATCTGAAAACAGAGCAGACCAGAGACTGCAGCACTCCTGCATCGCTCTTAGGGTGGAACTGTGCATTAGCAGATGGCAGCCTAAAAACAATATGTGCTGAGAGAGTTAGCGATGTATGGCAAGATTTTCAACGCCTACACAAACGTTCAAGAGAGTATTGTCTGTCAGGGGCGGTGTACGAATTTACAAGTTGCTTTTGTGTAGATTTCTGAAGCTATTATCTGCATATGATCAGCTATGAAATGTTAGAGGCAAATTCAAGGCAAATTTTTACAACATGGAATACGAGAACTAGTCACAATATTAATCCATATGTTTTGATTTGAGTGTTGCACAATTTACATACAACAGCCCGTTTATTGGTAGATCCTGTGGTTGGGTTGCTTATGGGAGGCAGCAGAGAATTGCAGCTGAAGAGCAGATCGTGATCCTGCCATCTGCCTGGAAGGAATTATTATATAGGTTTGCTGTCAGTCAACSAACCTGTCTTCAAGCAAAGACTGCATGGTATATGATTTTTTCCATGCTCATTTCATGCACTATTTTTTTCGTGAGGAAGCAGCCTTTCACTGCACGGGCACAGCACACACGTCTCTGCTGTGGCCCTCTGCTCACGCCAGAAAACAGATAGGTTTTGGAAACGAGTGCTTGCCATGTTTCTCTTAAATAATGACAAAACTCATAGCTGTGGCCTGGAATGAAATCTTAAGTCTTATTATTTTAAGTCTTATTGTCTTACAGACTTTACAATAACGTCTCTTAGTTAAACAAACAGTGGCTTGGTCCAAAGTATCTAAATAGTTTTCACCTTGCTTTCAAAAAAAATAATAGCATCAGGTATATATTGGCTGAATTCACTTATTTTGTATGGAAGAACTTCCCCTGGCTTCTTGTTTCTAAGTCTTCTTTAAGGGAGTCTCTTATTTGTGCTGCTTTCCCACAGTATTCTTTTCAGGAGCATTACTGAAGTCAGAAATTGTCCCTTATAGTCTACCTGCATTCTCTTTTCAAGGGTTCCCTTAGAATCTTTAGAATCACAGAATGGTTAATATTTAATATGGTTAATAATTAGGCTGTAATATTGCACATTAGTTTAATCCAACAGTAGTCAAAATCACCATATACAGCACATTGAATCTGGCAGTCTTCAAGAACACCAAAATATGTSCATGGAAGCCTCACTGTGCCTCTGCAAAATACAGGATATTTTACCCTCAATAAACTGCAACATATTTTAAGATCATATAGTGAATCCATTATAAAAATTCACAGCTGCAGGGGGCGGRTAGCAAAGAAACCTCTCCCTTTATTATTGCTTTTCCACCATTGACTTTCCTTGTGATAAAGTGCAGGCAAACACACACATTTGCAAATAGGCTATTTGGCCAATGCCCTAGTGAAATAAAAGAGCTGAAATTTCCCCTGCAGCTGGACCCTGTGCAGACTTAGATGACTTTAAAGTGTGGTTTTCAGGGTGTTATAAACATCAGAAGTGCAACACTGCAGAGCTGAACAGGCCTTTAACATTTTCCCTTTGCAGAGGTACTGGCCAAAGGTTGTTATTGAAGCGAGTCAATAGCACAGGCGAGCACAGGTGAAGACRGTTTGCTGGGATGAGTATTTGAGCACCCAAGCACAGCTGTGTGTCTGGTGGTTCCTAGAGGAACTCTGGGCTTTTAGTGGAGTTCCTGTTTGCAGAACAGCTTTCTGAATGGCTCTCCCTTCACTAGTCAGGGGAGGGTGAGGAAATAGCTAAAAGGCTGTAGAAAACAGCATAGGAGCTTAGAAAGAATGGAGAGGCATTTGGAAGAAGAGCTAAATCTATTGGGGATCTTGTTTTTGCAGTGTTGATGCTTGGGAGGTAAGTGTTTGGGGCTGGAGGAGTAGGGTCCTTGTTGTGTTCCAGGTTTTCATGCAGGTCTTGGAGGAGTTCTTTATTCCTGCAGGAAGGGAATAGAGTATTGGTGAGTATGGATGTCTCTGCTGTGACTCCTGGCTGCTTTTCTGAAGGGTTTATTCCATGTGGGAGACTGGGTGGGCTGGGGAGCACCTGCTGCAGCCTGATGCTGAAGCTTGGAAGGATTAATTGCAATGCTCCAATGAGGAGTCTTGTCTCCAGATAGCSCCATTTCCATGTTATTTGCACTGTATGAACCCTGACGTGAGGCCTGTCTTCCMTGCTAGTGAAGCATCTCTTTTTCCCATTGCTTTCAGCTACTGGAGGCCTATTGCCTGTTTAGCTTCTAGAGCTAGTGCAGTAAACTTAAAAGTAGCAAGGACAGCCCTGTGACTGTCCCTAAAGAGGCAAAGGTGAATTTGCTGCCCAGTTAATTTTAACTATTTTGTCTCCGATTTATTTATTTACATTGCAGATATTACAAACATACATGCTCCTTCCCTCTTTGGCCACTAAAGAGGGTCAGTTTTCACTATACATTCAGACTRTGCCTGGGAACTGGTGTACTGGAACTGATTAGTCAAATACCAAGTGTTGTCCTGACACTAGTACTGATTTATTTCTGATGCTAGGAATATTTCAATAGTTTTTTAAATGATTTCAGCTGGATAATGTAAGAATACCTGGGCTGAAGACTTTGAGAATTGATGAGAAGAGAGTCAGTATTTTAAAAGTGGGATGATGTCTACAGCTAATGTATAGCTGGTAAAGATAACAGTATTATTACTTGACAATAACACCATGACTGGCATCGCTCCAGGGCTGTTTTGACTTAAATGCCTTTGCTTTGCTGGTGTCTCTAAATTGAAACTAAATAAACAATTCCTCTCCATTATATGAAGGCTATGTTTACTTGGCATGATGAGCACAGTGACACTTTCACAGTTATATTTTGAATAGGCTAGGGGATATTACAATTTTGTTCCTTGATGATAATGTACTGCACATATAATGCCTCTTGCTGCTCTTTAGCAAGTATGGATGGTCTGTTGCTGGCTAATAGCAAGTTATAAATAAGGGTCTCTTTTTTGTGCATTGTCCTACATGCTTTAAAAAGAACTAGGACAAACTTTTTGATATAAATTTCTTTGACAAATATAGATTTTTTTATTATTATTTTTTCTCCCTCCTCTTAGGCAAGGCAAACTTGTAAGAAGCAGAATCTTAGTCTCACAAACGCTGGAATTGTGAACACTGGATCTTCTTTTAACAAGGCAGAAGAGTACCTTTAAGGTAAGCTGGAAATAATAACAATAGAAGTCTTTCCATTTGTGTTGTGCTCTCCTACTGCATTTGATATTTGCATTGGTGGTTTAACTTTGTTYGTTTCAGTGCATAGCATTTATGGTCATGTAGCTTGCTTTTTGAATGGATCTGGCTATGCCATCTTGATGGTTGATCTTTCTGGCATATTAGCAGAGTCTGATAAAGCTTCTGCTAAGCAAGGTTGGAAAGGCTGTAACAGCAGAGGTGTTACAAKGATGCTATGTGAAAATGGACTGTAGGAAGTCTCTTCTTTGGGCGGGAAGGAGCCACTGGGTTTATGGGTGCCAACCACCAAGAAGAGCTTCTCTAGTCAYCTGGGTGTTGCTCACCTGGGGTAGGAAGACTTATACTATTGGGCTGAAATACTTGCTGCTCTTGCCCATACAGGGGCCAMAAGCAAATCTGGGTATGTGTGAAACATTTGTAGGGTGGGAAGAGACAGCTTGGAGGAACAGGGAATACAGATCTGTAAAAGCAAAGCTGCATTGTCCCAGGAGCACTAGAACTAATGTGTTTTGCATTTCAAAGGTGGTGAGCCTTTTTCAGACCCTGTAAAATATATGCCTGGGATTTGTCATATTAAATCTTTACATGGTAAAAGACGTTTGTGGTGAAGGGGTGGGGAAGGAAAGGAGCAGAGGCAACATTCAAAAGTAGAGGCCAGAGGCTCTTATTTGAGTACAGCTCCCGATCTGTCTGCATGGATCCAGGGTGCATATGCTCCGTTCTTTTGTGTGTCGCTAAAGCTTGTGATAAGTAGAGGTCCAGGCAGCAAGGAGTGTTATTTTTATTTGCTTATTCTTATCATTCACTTGACATCTCCACATGAATGGTAGCATGAAGAAGAAATGGCAGTTCTGTTTGTAAGCACAGTCAACATGCACAAAGGAGCCTATCTCAAAGGCAATTTGATACCTGCTGGCTGCTTGCAGCCTGCCTCCACCTTGGAAATGTCACCCTTCTGCCATGGTCCTTCTTTTGATAACCCCACAAAGTCATTGCTCATCCCTCCCCCAGTCTGTGGGGTGGCCTGTGGATAAGACTTCTTTGCTCTTATCTCCCTAGGATAGCTCAAGACSCTTGGTCTGTCCCCTTTCTTGTCTTCAGAGTAGAAGATCGTATAAGAAATGGGACAGATGAGAAGACTAGACCTCTGAGTCTAATCTTTGTAGACTACTGCATGTAAAGGCTTGCRTAATTTTTACCCCATCTCTTTCAGAGGAAAAATTACTCTGCCTTTTTTCTGACAAAAATTTCCAAGAGTTCTGTAGTGTGCAGTTTGTTAGCTGTCAGTTTGTTAGCTTCCTGTGTTCATTTTTCAGTCCTGTCAGTTAGTAGCCCCCACTCCATTGAACACGTGAGTTTGTGCACATAAGGAGGGAATGTTGCTTTYCCTGTTGGAGACATTGACACCTGAGCTGGGAAGGGACAAGCAAAGCCCCAAAGTGTCAGGTGGGGATGACACGGTGCCCAGCTGAAAGCAGGGAAGAGTTGTTTTGTGCCTTGTCGTTCTGCTGGAAGTTAAAATTGGCAGAGACACCAAAGCAGGTGTGCGGGAGCTGCCGCAGGTCTGGCCAAGGACTCCGCGGCTCCTCTCGGATGACGGGAGCCAGGACAGAGGGAGGCTGCAAGCGCAGCCTGTTTAATATTCTCCTCCACTGCTCTGATCTTCCCCCTTCTCCTGCGGCAGCAACATGTCCCRTGCCTCTGTGGAGCTTGTCCTGTGCAGAAGCAGCATCTGCCAGGGGTGATGGTGGCATTAGCCTCACGGAGCGGGCAGGCAGCAGCGCTTGGCAGAGCGACAGCTCTGCTGCTCTTACATAAATCTGGGTCTTGGGTAAATCTGTCTCTGCTCCGCTCAGGTGTGCGGTCACAACCTGTCTCAGCCCTCTCCCTCTCCACGAGGCCCYGCGGTTTCCTGAGAGGTTTTAGCTGTGCTTTCTGTGGGTGTGCTGCTCCTTCCTCCTCTCACCTTGCTGCTCCCCACTGCTTCCCCTTYTCTTCTTTTGCTCCCCACATGTCCTCAGGGGAGCATATTTAAGGGAGCTGTTATTAAATAAGTGTGCCACTCCCATGGATTTTCGTGCAAAACACTCAAAATAAGCAGTGACCTTTGGAGAACATCTTTGAGCACAGCCAGGCTTATCCCAGGTCATGTTCTCTCTCCATGGCCATTCTGGGCTCTGCCAGGAGGAAGGGGCCCATGCCAGGGCTGGCATGGGGACACTCCTTTGGTATCTCCAACTTCTTTGAGATGATTAGGTCTAGATACAGATACTTATTGTGATATAGAGCTGTTGGGAGGGTCCTGTAAGCTTAGAGGGCACCCYGGGCTCTTAAAATGGAAGTTTCTGTTTTTATCCCTCAGCATTTTTCTTGTTGCGGGCAGGCGTGAATGGGGTTTTTGGCCACATGTTAGGTACCTACAATTGCTCCTTAAGAAAAACTAATTGCATATAATACGAGAGGAGGAGGAAGCCAATCTGTTCCTGTAAATGGCCACTTAAGATGCGGGCAATAAATAACTGTAATGACTTGGTGGGTCTGAGCTGTGGTGTTTCTCTTCCCTTTGTCTGCTGCGACGTTGGGAAGGGAGCAGAGAGGGAACGACTGGATTCACAGGTGCAGCAGGGAGCTGGGAGTCCGTGGAACAGACAGGGTTATTCCTGCCCTTTCCTTCCTCCATCTCTCTTGTGCTCTTGGGCACTTTCCCTGCGCTGCTGCCTGTAAACCGGGTTAGGCTTCCTTAAGCCTCGCTTGCCTCTTGCAAATAAGCACGAGGGAGCCACGCTGGGGGAGCAGAGCTGCTGCCGGCGTAATTTAAGCGTCTTGGGTTTGTCACTGGCCACGACGAGTCCTTTGCCATTGCAACCGTGCCTTTCCCTCGCCGGCTCTTCCCCCGCCTCTGTGCCCGTGTGCTGGCGGCGGAGACTGGATGCTTTCCTGCATCCTGCGCCGCTATTTAAGCGCCGCTCGGCGTGCCCAGCGCGCCGGGGCTCGCGTGGGGCTGTGTCGCTTTAAGGCATGCGATGCTCCCCGAGAGGGGATGTATTGAAATAGGCGACGGGGCTCGCGGCACCCTATAGCAGCAGCGAACGGAGGCGCGCGGAGCAGCCGCTGGCCGCCGGAGCAGGCGCCGCTGCCGCGCGCTGCACCCGAGCCTCGTCCTCGAGTGGAGCCGGAGCCGCACATCGCCTCAAGCTCCCTTCAGAGGGCTCGTCAAGCAGAAGGTGCCGCTAGGAGATGATTTAAAGGTGAAAATGAAAAGGTTTCCACCCCTCAAACCTTGGCCACTTCTCTGACGGCAGAGTCCGAGTGCTCAGATGTCTTCTTTACTCTGGGAATAGGATTTGTAACGAAAAAGACTTTTTTATTTTTGTTTTTTAATCCCGATCAAGAAGATTATTGGGAAGCTATTAAAAAATCCCTTATTGTGGTACAGATGGATTTTAAAAAGTGTTAGATCTTTCCAATGAACACTATTAGAGTGCTGTCCTCTTGGTTGGATTACTCAGGTAAGGAGCTGCTTTAGGATTTAAAATTCAAAAAAGAGATTTTGAACTGAGTTAATAACTGCAGAAGACTTACTGTCTTTTTTTTTACTAGTAATAAGGTAATAAGATGATCTCTGCATAAAACTGTGTGTGGGGGATAACAATTTGCTAACAGTCAAGTACATGAAGAAATGATTGTAAGAAATACTTGGGACTGAGTAAAGTAGTTTCAAATAGTGTTGCTTGAAAAAGTATTTTAAAATGAACCAAAAAATTCAGAATGCTAATAATGAAAATAGGAGATGGATTAAGCAAGTTTTCTGTCCATGTGGTTAAGAATAGGATGTCTGAAGAAACAGTCTGTTAAATGTTCCTATGTCTAAGTTTGGCTTTGCTTCACTTTTTGTCTAGGATTTATAAAGTTTAGGTTAAATAAGAGCCTGAAATTGTGCTATCACTATATGCAGAAGTCCTCTTTCTCTTCTGTTGTGCAAAAAGCATGGGAGCACCCAAAATGACAATAAGATGTTAATTCCTGAGGACACGGGCAGCCCCCTGGGAGCTCTGTTTTGCAAGATTACTTTCTCTAAAAGCACAGGAGGAAAAAAGCATACTGTGTACAGTAAAGTAAATCTTGGGGAATTAAACTGTGTGCTGAGGAGTCCATTAAATACTCAGTGCAGGAGAAAGGAATAGCTGATCAAAATAATGTTTTAGTGTTTTTAGTTAATTATATTTGTAAACTTATGTTTTTTTCAGACAGTGTTTAAAGAGGTTACCAGAGACCATCTAGCTTTAAAATAAGAGAAAGAAAAAAATAGTCTTTTAAATAGATTTCATTATTATTTAATACTGTTAAGTGTCAATAAAACATACAAGTTTTCTACTGTGGMAATCCTGCTGATAGGTCACCTACTGACTGCCTTTTCCCTTAAATTTTCTGTGAAAGCATAATTCTTTTATGCAAGATACTTTGCTCCTCCAAAGTCTCTCTCCCTCTATGCAAACTATGTTGAGCTGATTGGATTATTAGCTAGAAACCCGCATCGTGTCATTGGCTGAAGAAGGAGAGTGCCTGAAGTTTGATTAATTTGGCAAGAGGAAATGCAGCAAAAGGGGCTGGGAAGGGAACAATGTGGAGCGTAGCTGAGCCTTGCAGACCTCCCCTTGCAGACATCAAGAAAGAGCTGTTGAAGTTAGAGAATTTAGCAATTTAGTATGATAATGAAGAGTATTATGAAAGTACTCATTAAAAATATTAGAATAACAAATGACCTTTCCCCTTTTGTGGAAAGGGGGGAAAAATACTCTTGTTGTAATCTGCTTTGTGGRAAGATCAAGTCTGCTACCTAATCCCTATGAAATTCAGTGGGGCTGTGCTTGAGTTCTTGTGCACTGGTAGGTTGAATAAAAGCAAGCTGATTTTTATCGAGGGATTAGAACACAATTCTGAGAAACAATTACTTTGTTTAGCAGACAGTACTGTGATTAAAAATTAATGCTCATGGGAGTCAAAGACACTAATCTACCTACTGGGTCAGTATTGGCCTTCCAGACTGGGACATGGAACATGCCTGAAAAGCTCCTCAGACATCTGATAATGCTGTGTGCTGACCTGTAATGTGCTTAAAGTAGCTCTGATTCTGCCCAAAGATCAGTTTTTGGCTGGCTTTGTGAATCCAGCCGTGTAAGTTCAGTGCTAAAAYAATGTGGGAGTATTTTCCAGCCCTCTGTTTTTTTCTCTCTCCTAGTACTTAGATCATTATAGTTTCATTTTTTTTGCCACTAAATTATTCAAGTTATGCAGGCTCTTGTGTTGACATCTTGTTACCTCAGCTGTCCTTTAGACTGTGACCTTTGCTGTGTGACAACTGCATCCTGCAGGGGGGAAATAAACCAGGAAACAAAGTTATTTAACAAAAACGAGTCTTTTTCATAAAATAAATGTAATGGAAGCTGACTATCCTGTGTGCTATGAGGAGATGGATAATAATATCTGTCTAATATTTTGTTTAGAGAATGGCAGTGGTCTCTGCAATGTCCTGGGTCCTGTATTTGTGGATAAGTGCCTGTGCAATGCTGCTCTGTCAGGGGTCCCTCCATCACACTTTCCAGCAGCATCACCTGCACAGACCAGGTAGGACTGAGATCGACTGGGAATGCTGTAAGGCTGCAGGCTCTCTGCCCGTGCTCGTGTCTGTCTTGATAAATGATTGAATAATTGTAAAATCCATTTTATTGTTTAACTTTGAGTAGTTTGCCTTGATACTGCAGAGYGTCTTCTCCAGTCATTGTAATGTGTTATGCTTTATCAATCTGATTTTGAAGTATTCATCTTTTAATGTCATCTTTTAACAACTTTCCAGTGTGGGAATCCTGTTTGAAAYGAGAACTTAATTTCTGTGTCCCTCTGCCTTTATTTTTGTCTCCTTCTTTATTGCAGTAATGGATGGAAGTAGAGCTTGGCAAAACATTTTAATAACTTAATTTTGGGTAACTTTGCTTGCTAACCCAACCTGGACACAAGTTGGTCCCTTAATAATAGTAATGAACCAAATTAATTACTGTTGAATCAGTCTTTAGTGTTTGTCTGAGGTCAGGTGTTTACTTGGGTGTAAAAAAGCAATGGGGTTATTTTAGGTTTTTCAGGTTTGYTTCTGAAAAGTGATGAGGCTGCAAAAAGTGTCATTTAGAGCAGAGTTTGAGCCTGTGTTTCAGTGAAACTAAAGGTGTGTAAGATCAGAATTAGTCCCATGAGTTTGCAATGGAGAACTTGACTCATTTTGACTATCCTGATCCACAGAGGCAGCCTGTTTGTATTTTTTAGTGCTCGTGAGATTTTCTTAACAGCAATTGATTATGTGAAATTTTCAAGTTTAATTGCATTTTGAAGCATCTGTGCCATGTTCAAAATTCAGGAGTTGGCATAGTCTAACACAGAGTTATCATCTAGCTAAAATTAGACAGGGCAAGCATGGCACTTCATAAATGCTGATTCAAAGAAAGTAGGGAGAGCTCTGAAGAGCTTTGCAAATGAAGATGGAAAAATCTTAACCCATAATGATGCGTCATTTACGATATAGCAATTAATACTATGCATTTTTTTTAATGTAAAGGAATTACCATCAAAGTGGGATGGTAATTGAACTGTAAATGCTGTGCAACTGAATGATTCAAAGTTTTTCCTAATTATTTCTTTGTCCCAAAGTTGCGGGTACTGGCATCTTCTTGCTTGTTTGTAATAAAATATCTAAAACCTAGAGCACTAGAGCTAAATCTTTGATGGACCTACTCTGGATGGTTAAAATATCTCATGAAACTAACTAGTGGGAATATCTCTAGTAGTATCTCTTTGAAAATGTAAGAGTATTTGAAGTTTGAGTGGTGGTCATATTTGGGACTTGCAAAGAGAAGAATGTTTATTACAATATGATAGTGAGTAATGCTGCTGGTAACCTGAGGCTGCCCCTCGGTAAAGGAAATAATATATATTAAAAAAAATAGCCCAGCTAAACAGATAGGTAAAAGGAAAATGTAATCTTGTTTTGTAAAATCAGTTGAAACAAGTGACATTATGAGAAAAAATGAGAACTGGGCAGATCCAGAGCTCTGCAACATTTGCCTAAGCCTGAAAAATCACCTCTTTTATGAAGCGAGAAGAGCTAGACACTGAATGCATACCAAGTGTTGGGGAAATGTGAAAAATGACAAAATCTTTCACTCTGCAACGTGATGCAGATAGAGTGAAGGCTTTACAGCTGCCTCATCACCTATTTAGAGCAGGGCTTTGCCTCCCGCAAGCCTCTCCCAGCAGCTYCTGCGTGAATAAGATTGATGGTGTTCTGATCTTGGGCAGCCAATTTCAGAGTCTCAAGAAATAATCCACTGCACTGACAGATGAGTGGAATTTGACACGGTGTTCACCTCTGATTCACATGGTGTTGCGCCTGGGAAGTACGAGCTCGGGAGCATCCTTTAGGGAAACTGTCAGGTACTTCGGACAATTTCTGCTGTCACAACAGAAAATCAAGAGTGTTTTCTATAAGGGCGTGAATTTGCAGTCTACCAACCAAATGCAAAAGGTTGTACATAAAAGGGATGGCAATATTTTAACTAGCAAACTGAGTGATTTTAATGTATTCAACTGCAGTCCCTGAGCACACCCTATTTTTCATATTTATAATATTAGGAATGCGTCATTTACTTTTAGTTACTCACTGTGTAAGTAAGATTAAAACACTCAGCCAAATAAAAGTGAATAAAAAATGGATGCAGATGAGCCCATGCATAATCTCAGTAATTTAATATTTGGTGTATGAAATTTCAACTTATTGAATCATGGCAAATATAGCTGTAATCAATAGCATGCTCCGCATACCTTTTGTTTCAGTCCGTGATCTTCCACAGATAATGAGGTGCTCAGAAATCAGAGGTTCAGAGCAGTTCAGCTCCAGCACAGGAGCTTCTACTTCTGTAGAAAGTAATTAAAAAGGCAGATTCCAACCTGTCTTGTGCTGCTTGTACTTGGTGAATGTGAGAGTGTCATTAAGCACCAGAAGGTGCAAACAAAAATCCCGATTTAGTGGATTTAGTATAATAAACTTGAGCTGAACTCAACGGATTAACACAGTGAATAAACCCATATATTGGTTAAGCCCTTTTGAAACAGTAGAAAGTGTGGGCAGACTATGAAAAGGTTAGTTTATCATCAAGGTAGATTTCTGAGTTTCCCCCCCAAATTTCTTAGGCATAAGTGTCTGAGTGGGCTGAAATAGATTTTTACACACTATGTGCAAACAGATAAGTTTAAAGCTTCCTTTTGATGTAGTATATGGTTTTATAATTTGGTCCTACTTTATTCAGGTAGACAAGTTGGCAGAAGGTACGAAGCTTAAAAAAAGATAAACCACTTTGTGCGACTGCATCTGTAAGTGACTGCAGCTTTATTTTCTATGGAATCTTGGCAGAAGGGCACAGATAGTAAGGGCATTGTAAATACTCCTTAAATATAAAAGGGATTGTGCTATATTGTACCTCTTCATGAATTATTCTTTCCTTTTTATTAACATAAGGTTTAAATGCGTGCTGTTAAATACCCTGAAGGGTTGGCGAGCATTTCTTTTGAGTGTAATAGTTGAGGTGGGCAGGACAGGTTTTTGCATCCCGAGTTGGGGCTCGGAGAAGAGCTTGCTTTGGTGTAAGGCAGCACAGCACCACTGCAGTGTAATTCTCCTTGGGTGTTACAAGTGTTTTCTGCAATTCTATGTATGAATGTATTTCATTTCCATGATAATTGTGTTAGGGAAAGGATGTATGAAAGTGTTCACAGGAAATAACTTTATGTGGGAACAAATACACAGATCTTTTTTTGTTTTTTTCTTTTTTCCCCTCAATCATGTCATTCCTGTAATATTTAGTAAGAAGGAGCAGAATACTACGTTGGCCACTTKAAGCTCTAACATGTGCGCAGTTGTAGAGCTGTTGAATTGGCCTGAGGATTGGAGTGGACAGGTTGTGATTTGCAGAGCCAGGCAAGTGCCTGTGATAGTCCGTTGATCATCTGATTGACAGCACTGCCTCCTTCCTGGAGGCACCAAGTAGGCGCTGGCATTCGGCAGGACAGTAAGATATTTATAAATATGAGTGCCATCTTAAAGYGTTCTTACAATTCTGGAGAAGAATTTCATGGTTCTGTTTGGTAAACGAGACCTGTTACACATGCACTGGGGACCTTTAGCTTCCCCTGCATTGCGGTGGGGTACAAAATAGTTGCATATGGCTTAGAAGATGCTGTATTTGCATGCAAGGCCATGCAAAATGATCAGCTAAATGTTAAGGATATTGTATTATTTTTATGGGGCCTCCGTATGCTGTGAAGACGGGAGGCAGATAGGACCAGAAACGTATACCTACGATAGCAGRGTTACAAAAGTCAACGTTACTATTTCAGAAATAAGCTTATTTAAAGGAAGAAATCATGGACTGAATCAAGATTGCAATCAAACGCACATCTGTGAAATACCAAGCTTTACATATTTACCTTTATTTTGGTAGTAGTTAATCATACGCCAATTAAAAATCTTCTCCAGAAGTGGATTTACAGCCAGGCTGTTAAGAGAGAAATCGGTGTCAAAGCAATTCTGTACAAACTAACATCTGACGTCAACCTAAAAGTGCTCTGAGCATATTCCTTAGCAGCCAGACAGCATCTTAGAGCAACTTGAGTCTGTAGCTGTGAGCACAAAACTTCTGATCTTGGCCTTCCCGCTGATTTTTCTAGCCTTGAAGGAAATGGTGTACTTTCACGTTTTAGAAGATCCTGTTTCCTTGTGTCCCAAAGTTGGGACTCTTCAGCTCTGGRCAATCTGGGAAGAATGTTGAGCTGAATCTAGTCCCCCCAGTAGAGGTGTAGATAAAATAAAATTCTTCTGCTCCTTTGCAGAGCAACTGAAATTTGGAACGCTAATTGAATAGGGGTTTTGTTCTTAGCGTTGATGACAGCAGGTCAAGGATGAGGTAGTTCATGTATGAAGGTGCATCACTTCTGTGCCTGGTAAAAACTCTATCCTGAGTGCAAACTGCCCCTCTTGCCCAACCTTCAAAGTGCCCTGCAGCAGCTTAGCCTGAGTCTACTGAGTCCAGTCAGGGAAGTGAAAAGGGATGCCTCATGTTCCTTTCTCTCATATCATTTTATCCTTCCTCTCATTTAATCAGGGCCTTTCCTTCCAAATGTTTTCCATGTTGCTGAGAATTTCCTCTTTGCAATGAGGAAGACTTAGGGATTCCACATTTCTGTTGTTTTCTGATGCTTGGTGCCAGGTGGATCTCTTCCTCAACCCTCACTTGAACCCTAGGCTGGGCTCTTGTTTTGCTGGGCTCAAGGCAGGCACAGCAGGACTGCAGTGCAGCTAGGATCTGAATTTATTGGACTGCCAGTGATGCACAGTAGGGAATTGGGGGTGTGAATTAAGCAGATCAGGATGACGAAGCGTCGTGTATGTCTGACTAATGTTTCTGTGCTCTGCTTACAAGATTGTTATGTGACAACTCCCCCTCTCTCTGGCTCTGCTCCTTTCAGAGTGGCAATTTCCCCTTTTTCTTGGCATTGAGTAAGAAACCAGTCCCGCTTTCCTCGAAAGCCATTTACGTTCAGTGACAGCAATTCAGGATTTGGCCTTTGACTGTTGTCTATCAATACCTGCATTGTAGTATTCAATTACAGTTCCTTTACTTGGAAGAAAAAAGAGGCAGCTTTTGAAAGTGAATTGATTGCAGAAATTGAGGCGCTTGGGAGTTGGATTTTTCTTCTTATTAGTGATATTGATAAATATGAGTATTCAGAACCCAGTTCTAAACACTTGTTTGGCACCTGCTGCTTCAGTGCACATACTTTAAAATGTGCCTGAATATTTTTCTTATGAGCTGAGTGGATTTATTTGTGTACTGTGCATTCTGTCACTTGCTGAATGAGCATCTCCAATGACAAAGGTTCAGATCATAAAATTCAAGCTCTGAAATATATAAAATACAAGGCTCTTAGATTAGTGATTTGGTTTTTCTGACAAAAAGACAAAAATCAGACCAAATCTGCATGGAAAAACCTTCAAATCCACTAAACAAAAGGAACAAAAATCCCTTCCATAGCTAACCTGTGTGTAAATGCAAGTTATGTTAATGAAGAATTTGATCTGAAATGGTCCCTGATGATACATGTCAGCTTATTAGAAAGTGGAGATCTTGGTGTTGTAGTTTCCCATTTTCTAAATAGAGCGTGCAGCCGACAGGCTGTAGAGCTGAGCCAGAGTCTGGGCTCAAGCCTTGACTGCACACACTGTGATAAAAATTTATTGTCTTTGGTGTCCTCATTAATGCTCCACAAAAATGCAGTTAAATATTTCTGGCAACCAAAGCTTCAGTGTAATTTTACTGTATTRTAAAGGATTTATTAATCATAATCTTTTCTTGCAGGGTGTATTTATATTTGATCATGACATTAATTGGTTGCCAAAACAAACTAGAGTTAATTGTGTTTAATTAAGTGGTTGGGAGCAAGCAAGGATAGTTTATTTGGAAAATCAGTTTCATTGATTTATATGTTTATTTTTTTTAGAAGAACCCAGATAAATGAGGGGAAGTCACTGTTTAGCAACCTTTTACTTACGTGCCCCTTGATAAGCGATACCTTTGTGGCTTTGTTCTACAGGTTCAAGAATGAAAAAGCKAGTCTTTTAGCTTTTATATAAACCTATTAATGCTCACTTTTTAAAATAAAATAACACAAAAAAGATGCGATGAGATCAAGTAAAATTGATACTAACAAGATAGTGCTCAGCATGTATTTTTCTCCCAGATGTGTTTTTCAAAATAAAACAACTCCTTCAGCTTCTGTTTGGAATTTGTCTCAGAGTAGGTTGGATAAGGCAGAGTAAAATATACTGTGAAATATAAGTAAATAATTGCTTGTAAAATGCATCTAAAATCAGTTGACCTCATTCTTCAGAGGAGTCGCTTTGTCTGTGGCCATCAGCCTGTTACAATTACTGCTGCTAAACTCGGAGAGAATCCAGAAGCCCTAACACTTTCTGGAAGAATCAGTTTYAAAAGTTATCTGAYTTCTAAGATGCACAATTTGTTATTTTGTGCCACTTTTGGTTTTGCATGTATTTTTCTTAACTTTTTCATTAGTTACTCAAGCAGCTGCCTGAAACAAGTTATCATCCTTTTGAATGGGAAAAACAGCAGTGTTGAGCTTAAAAGGTTTGCTGTAGCCAGAGGGTTGACTTTTTTTCTTGTAAAACCAAGTTTATTTTTAAATTACTGTAATAAAATGTATTGCCCTTACCTAGAAAACTTGAAATGCTTAAATTTGTGAGCTATCAGAGTGACACTAACCCTTTGGTTCCGTGTCATGAGTAGCTTCAATTCACAAAGCTCTTGGTTTYTTCCATGGGTTACTGTAAAATTTGGGTAGTGCAATCAGCCAGACGGCACTACTGTGCATTAAAAAGAAAACCCAACAGATAAGGTGAAGTTGGAGGTCTTTGAGTTTGTAATTGGTTTCAGATTGCCAGGGAAAGATTGGACGGAGAATGATCATGTCCAAGCCAACTCTCTGTAGTATAAATACTGTAGGAATAACACACTTTGAGTAAAATGCAGCTGCTTTTCCCAGATTCTTTAAAAACTGGCTTTCCATCATAGAAAACTCATTATTTTCCCCATGAAGTCTGTTGCCCAGGTGGTGTTTCTTAACCTTGTCTTGAGTTTTCTCCAACAAATAGATGACCCCCTTTTGTTCTAGTTCACTTTCTTGTGGTATTTCTATTATCTCTTTCTAGCTGGCAGGCAAGGAAATCAGATGTGCATCAAACGAAACCATTTGTCATGGATTAGTGCATGCAAATGCCTTGATGACAGCAGCAGACAAAAGCTTGCAAGTGCCTGAGTGCTACGTTTGGGGGAGAAAATTAATGAGGGCAGAATACTGTGGATAGCAGCCTCCAGATGAGTTTATCTGGCCCTACAAGTAAGCTACCACTGTTCTCATTCCTCTCTTATCCTAACACTTAAATATATAGGCAAAAATGGGTAAGGCTTCAGGGTAGTGTGCAGTGAAGAACTTGGGCATGGCTGTCAAAGAGCTGCTGGACATCAAACGTGCTGTGTACTTAGTGCATTATATATTTTATTGTGGAGAGAGCAAGACTTAATTCATCGGAAGCTCCACAGTTTAGCCAGATTACCTCATGTTTTCTTTTACCCTACATCTTTACCTGATGCAGATTTTATCCTATTTCTATCTTCTCTCCCTTGTTGTTTCTTCACTTTCTAAATCTTTTTTCCCTTTGAATCATTTTCTTTATTTTTAATCTTTGTGAGCCCTGATGACTTTCACTTTTCTGAAAGTCTCCTCTTAGTCTATGTACCTTGTGTTTGTGAGCAACAAAATACTACTCGACTTCATCCCAACTGCAATAACATCCAAATTTTTATGAAGYTTCAAACATTGTTGTCTAGAAAAATCAAAATGGAGCAGTTTGGTTAAAAAGTGTGACATGTAGAAATACATCTTTCACTTTCTCATTTTGACATAGTAATTTGATAAAAATGTTTCTTAATATGAAACTAAAGACAACATGAATTATCTTACAGAAAAGAATTCTTTTAATTAAAATTTTCCAACAGGAATTTTTTATTTTCCTGTCTCTACAGCAGACTGTATAAAAGGCAATATTTCATTATTATTTGTATCATTATTATTTCTATTTTTATCTATACTTTGATTTCAGGTACCAGAACTTCATCCTTTATGTCCCCAAAGTTTTCCTGTCTTGATCCTGCAGTGACATTATGACATTTTGGTGAGGATATGATCGCACAACGTTGTTTGGCAGCTTCCCTCATAAAATGATTTCCTGAATTTTTGGACTGTATTAGAATTGGTGTAGAGTTTATAGTTGTGCTGTTTTGTCATAACTGGATATACGTTTCTTTTAAGACTTGTGCTCTGTAAGTCACCCCAAGTCATGTTGGGTGTCAAATTCAATCTCCCTTGAATTTTTTTTCCCATATATGTACATATTCTGAAATGTTTTCTGGTGTTTTTCTTGTTTTTTCTACTAAACTGTTGGTTTAGTGAACGACTCKGAAGTTCTTGGAAATGTACTCTAACCCAATATGGGATGGAACAGGGATTGAACTTGATCTAATTTGAGCAGACCAAACATGGTCTKCTTTGACCGTGAGCTCCAGAAGCCCTTTTTAACCCACTAGTTCTGCAGATCTTTCAGAATCCCCAAAACAGCCAAAAATAAACAAGCAAAAAGGAAACAGAGCAAGCAAGATACCTCTATCCTCGGATCCCAGTGTAACAGCATGTGTAGGTACTTGCCAGGAATAGCGGGAAAATTCCAGTTCAACTGCTTTTCCTTAAGGAATTTGAATTATTTGCTATATTTCTTATTTCTGTTCTGCAGAAGGCGTAGAGGGGATCTATGTAGATAGAAACAACCACCACAAAGCAATATGAAACTTATACTGACATTCCCTGATAAAGGTTTGTCTTTAGTATGCTGCTGTCTGCATCTGATGGGCTTGTGCTCTTTAGAAGGTCAGAAGAGGTCATCCCTTAGTCCTGAAAGCCCCTATGAATTTAAGTCGGCTGTAGGAAGTCTAGATAGAGTTTAAAATGCAACCCTGCTTTCAAATGTAAATGTAGCAAAATCTTTCTCCCTATAATGCATGTGCATTGAATGTATTAGTACCTAAAGTTTTGGAGGTGGCTTAGTATGTATTCTGTGTAATTTTTGAAAAGGGCTGTAATGTCAAGGTTTTTCATCAGAACCAATTCAACACATATACAAAATGTATGTGTGCTGTTGTCAGGAGGGAATTAATCAGTATTCCAACAGCAGCACATACATCTCTGGATCATCAGTACTCTCTGTAACAATCCTGTTTTTAGAGGATGCCCAGACAAGACCTCCATTTTGTGGTTTTCTGTTTGATTTTTCTTTTGTTTTCCTCTCCACACCCAACTGCAGGATGGTGCATCCTGTAGATGCAGGGCATACAATATAAGAGTGAGCCCTGGCAAGGGGCACTTGAGCAATCTCCAGCTTGGACATAGGTAAGACAGTTGAGATGCAAATAAGTGGGATATCATGTCCCTTAAGCTGTTGCTTTATGTGGTAGTGGTGACCATGGCTGGCAGGTGGTCCTTTCCTACCTGCCCAAGGTGAGTGTCCCCATGGCTGTATCCTGGACATGGCTTGCCAGCAGGTCCAAGCATCACTGAGCTGGGCCACCGACCATGGAGGTTCTTGGCTCACCATTTTCACAAGATCAAGCACTTTAGCATAAACCAACTTCATGCAGGCTTAAACTTTCATGGTGGTTAAACTCTAATCTATCAGACTGTCTCTGTTACGGAGGATAAGAGCCTTCACATTCATGTGCTAGCTCTTTGTTGGCAAATGAGTGAATTTGTAGTGAATTTTGTTCCTGTGGCCATACGCTCATCTGAATCTGAGGCTCAGCAGACGCAGTCAGGCAGCGCAGCATTTGTTTCAGATTTGGAACTCTTGACTTCTTACTTAATTGCTTCCTTCGAGAAAGTTAGGCTTTTTCTTTTTGGACAAAAAAGGCTTGCGTTTAAAATTTTAAATACGCTTCTCACTTGAAAGCTACACTTCCCACCAGAGTTTTGTGCGATGCTCCCAGTCTTTCACAGACAGCACAACACTGATTCTGTGTAACTCAAGAGCACATTTGTATAATGGGTCTGACTTGCAAATCTGTTATCTCAATACGCTTGCAGGCCAGCTACAGCAGCATTAAATACTTGTAGCAAGATTTTTTTGTCTTTTTTCCTTTTTTAATAGGGGGAAAAAAATCAAACTGCTTCACTTGCTACAACTGAAAAAACTGTAATCTCCTGGCAGTTTTGAAAGACATGGATTGCTTTGGGCTTGCAAGGTAGGTCACCAAAGAGGACTGTGCTCTTTGGGGGCTCTTTGCTGAGAATGTCAACTTTGTTTGGTTTGGCCCTGCCGAAGGGGTCCGTGTTGATAGGACTGGGACTCTGTTAGGGTCCTCCACCTTCCAGTGGCCCTTTTTGGCTGCTGCTGTTGGGTTTTTGGGCTTCYTAGTAAGACCATACTTCTTATCTGCTGGGACCTAGGAGACTACCTGTGCTGGSAGTCTGGCAAAAGACCCTCTGCATTATTTAACTTTCTCTTGGCRGCACAAAAGCTCAGTGGTTATACCAATATAGTTGTGTTTTCTGTCAGGATTTCATGCTGTTGTGGAGGTATCCTGTGTCCTAGCTTATGTCCAGGACYGCCTGGTGAGATGGAGGGTCTTGGCAATGGGTACATATATACTGCTGAATTGTCATAAAAATTGCTCTTAGCCTCTTGTGGTTATATGCTTTTATGCGCTAGAGGAATTGTAGCAGTTTTTCCTGTTGTGGCAATTTTTTTTTTTTTTTTTTTTTGTAGGCTGGAGGGATGCACAAGGTAGCACTATACACTTCGCATTGCGGCATTTCTTTTACTGTGCGACTACTATGTTGTAAATAATTGAATTTTTTATTTGACAGCTGAAGCAAGATATCAAGTGTTGCTTCAGCACAATATTTACGTTTTGAAATTAGTTTAAAACAACGTAATTGTTTTTTCTACTGAACTGAAAAAGAAAACAAAACCTGAAACCATTTGTTCTGTTTCTAAGCAGCACTTCTTTCTCTAGCATTTTAATTTAATGGGGCCTTTGCTTGCTTCTCTTTCAGTGCTTAGAAAGTAAGCAAATAAGAGACCAGTCAGAAGCTGCTTAAGGTATTCAGAGTTCATTCTGTTTTCTACCATAGGGACTGGCCTGTCATCTCTCAGACCTGTGTACTAATGACCCTCGTGGTAAGGCAAATAACTTGGAGGGCAGAAAAAACTAATCTCCGTGACTAAATTCTTCTTTTCCATAAGACTGAATAGGGTTTGACAGTGTCACTGTCCAGGAAAGGGCAGAGATTTCTCCTCTTCTTTGTTAAAGGAGGGAGTCAAGGCTGTTGCTGAGCTGGGAGGTGTCCCAGGAAAGGAGCATCTTGGGGACTGACAAGGCTGTGCTTGTTTGCCATGAGTTAGATGCAGGAAAAGGAGATTTTGGTACACATGTAAGCATCTCTTAAATGGTTTTGCAAATTCCTGTTCTCTGGGAAAAATAATTTGGATGCTTGGGTTCAAAGTTGGCGGARGGGGGAGAGGAAAGCTGTGCCATTAGAGGCCAGCTTTCCATGCAGTGCGTTATGTGTATAGAGTTTCTGTCCTTTCCTGTGTTTAATGATAGGTTTTTTGAAATGTGGTTCCTCAATTTTGGAGAGGAAGGCTGCAAGTCATCCTCAGCTCACACCACTGCTGCTTTCCTTGCTGTTCAGAAAACAGGTCAGTGCCTGAGAGAGTAGAGAAGCCAGACTTTGACAAACTGATGTCTGTGGAGATATGGAGGTCTCGGCTCATCTCAGTCATTTCAAAATCCTCTTCTCTAATGAGGCAACCTTTCTGGTTCAAGGTGATAAAACTATCCATGCCAGAGAACCAATACCYGTTCTCATCTAAGAAATAAACACATCCAGCAGTTATTGTACTGTCCTTGAAATGCGGCCTGGCACATCTCGCCTTATTTTGAGAGAGAATGCTTCTAGTTATGTTTCTTTTTATTATTATTATTTGGCTGAAGCTTAACATTAGAAATGTGCTGCTTTTGCTAAGTGATAGTATCTGCTTTTGTCATTTTTATGTAAACTTAGCTGTTTTGCAAAGCCCCGCTGTACTCTGCTTCCAGAGAAGTCTGCCTCTGCTGTCCTCTATCAGCATAAAGATCTCTGAGCACAATAATATTAATCATCCCCAACAGTGATTTAAACTATATCTTTTGCCTTTTTCATGACAAGCTTTTGGAAGGGGAGGGAAGTTTAGAGAAAGTTTCCAGTTTGAGTGTAGACTTTTGGCAGGCTGGATTTTTACAGCTGGATGCAAACTTTTATTGATTTGGGGGATGGTTCTGACTGATCAAAGGGGTCAATTTGGGTGACTTTGGTCTCTAGGGGGTTAGTGAGGGGTTTAGGAACCTGCTGCCTTCAAGAGGGGAGTACTGTGTGTGTGTGTGTGGATATGGTAGGCTCAGCTTGTGGACCAGGACATCAGCAGGGAAGGGAGGCAAAGATGCTGAAATGCAGTCAGGTTGTCATGGCAGGATCCTTTATCTGAGTGAAAAATATATGGAACATTTAAATAGTGAACAATTATTTCTTAAACCATTTATGGTTAACACAGCTYCATTTATCAAATATATTTTTAGCAGGCCAAAATCTGTAGGAGATAACTTTCCAAATTTAAGTTTTAGGCAGTTGAGGGACTTATGTTGTGTGCTATTTCAGTAGTTCGTTTTAGTTCCATGCACATACTAAATTTAATAGACACCTCTCACTTCTAAGACAAATGAWTTAAAATTTGCTTGCTTACACTCTATTTGGATACTCTGAGTGGTGACATTCCTATATAATCACTTATTACTGATAGTTATTTTGGAATGGAGACTTTTCTCTGTTGTGTATAAGGCTGCCTTAGGTGCACTAAAAAGCTGTTGTGCAAGGAAGAATTCAGCATTGGTGTTTCCACCTGGACTGCTCATGGATAAGGTTTGCCTGTGTGGTTGCAAGTCACAAAAATTATCCAACAAGGTCTGAAAGAATTTTGTCTGATGGTAGGACTTGGTCAGTTATGCTAGTTTTAATTGAATAAATGGCKGTACTGGATTTTGAATAAGAGTGCTTAGCATGAATAAGAAATTARGTGCCAAAGTGAAATACATTGCTTCATCTTCAGTGAAATACATTGGTTTGTTAGGAAAACATCTTCCTGTGGGAACATACCAGCTTTGTCAGGATTCAAATGTTTCTCTTCTCACTTGCCTTGAAGGTGGAAGAAGGTGGCAAAAGATCTCATGAAAGTAGCAGAGTCATCAGCTTGTGGCTGCTGGTGGGTGGTGGGTTGTGGTGGGGGGACTCGTGTGCATCTCTACTGCTGCAAGGGAAAGGCAGCCTGGGGGAGGAAGAGGTCCCCTCTCCGGCCTGAAGGACATCTTGCACTCTTTTTATTTAAACTGGTGATTTTTTTTTCCATCAGTGGAAATCTTCAGAAATCTCTGTCCTTAGATTGGAAATATTTATCAAATAGATTCTGTGCTCTTTGATTTTTTGTTTGTTTTATCTTTTCTTTTTTCCTTTCTGAGATGCGAAGATGATACTTTTTAACTATTTACGCTCTGTTGCCTGGAGTTGCACCCTGTGTRCTTGCACTACACTCAAAACACTATCAATTTGAAGTAAAGTACTTAATCATGAAAGAAAAGGATAAGTGTGTGAAATCTGGGAACAATATAAATTCTCCTGTGTACCTTTATTTGATAGAGAAATCAGCTCAAAATAAAAGTCTAATAAGAAAGCTATTTCTATTTGAGTTGATGATGGCAAATGCCTGAAGTTGTTTCTGCTGGTAATGCTTTGTCCAAGGAAGTACAACAAATTATCTAAACAAAAATAAGATTTAAAAAAAAAGAGAAAATACTTATAAAGTTTGTCCATCTAGGTATACATCCATACCTTTACCATAAGCTAGCTGATTCCCTGCCATATGTTCCTTTATGTTCCTCTGGATCTTTCACAGGCGTTTAGGG